AGTGATGACAATGTCACAGTTGTCCTAGTGATGACAATGTAACAGTTGTACAAGTGATGGCAATGTCACAGTTGTCCTAGCGATGAGAATGTCACAGTTGTCCTAGTGATGACAATGTCACAGTTGTACTAGCGATGACAATGGCACAGTTGTACTAGCGATGACAATCTCACAGTTGTACTAGTGATGACAATGTCACATTTGTACTAGTGATGACAATCTGACAGTTTTACTAGTGATGACAATCTCACAGTTTTACTAGTGATGACAATCTCACAGTTGTCCTAGCGATGACAATGTCACAGTTGTCCTAGCGATGACAATATCACATTTGTACTAGTGATGACAATCTCACATTTGTACTAGTGATGACAATCTCACAGTTTTACGATGACAATCTCACAGTTTTACTAGTGATGACAATCTCACAGTTTTACTAGTGATGACAATCTCACAGTTGTTCTTGTGATGACAATCTCACAGTTTTTTAGCGATGACAATGTCACAGTTGTCCTAGTGATGACAATTTCACATTTGTACTAATGATGACAATGTCACAGTTGTCCTAGCGATGACAATTTCACATTTGTACTAGTGATGGTAATCTCATAGTTGTACTAGTGATGGCAATGCCACAGTTGTCCTTGTGATGACAATCTCACAGTTGTCCTAGCGATGACAATGTCACAGTTGTCCTAGCGATGACAATCTCACATTTGTACTAGTGATGGCAATCTCATAGTTGTACTAGTGATGGCAATGCCACAGTTGTCCTTGTGATGACAATCTCACAGTTGTACTAATGATGACAATGTCACAGTTGTACTTGTGATGACAGTGTCACATTTGTATTAGGAATGACAATTTCACAGTTGTACTTGTGATGACAATGTCAGTTTTACTAGTGATGACAATCTCACAACAGAACTCTTCGTGGGTACACTATCAGTCTTACAGCTATTCATGTTAGCTCACATGGTATCAGTCTTACAGCTATCCGTGTCAGCTCATATTGTAAAATCCAATTGTCTGGAGCATAAATAAAGTGTCGTTTTTAAAATCTTGCCCAGTGCTTTAACAGGGCCCTTTTTGAGTGGTACCGGACCAGACTTTGACATGACCCATATTGAGTGTCCTTGAACCAGGGTTTGACATGGACAACATTGAATTGCACCAGACCATGGGTTGACATGGCCCATGTTAAATGGCACCGGACCAGGGTTTGACAAAGCCCATTTTAGCAGCACCGGACCAGGCTTTGACATGGCCCATAAAGTTTAAAATATTTCAACTAAATGGTTATACATATTTTTCAAATTAAAAATGACCTACATTGAATTGTGATTATTGATTGTCACCACCCAGCTGATGTTCTTAAGTTGTCTTCTCTTCCAGTACCTTCTTCGGTATCAAATAAAGAGCTAAAAATAGCTTGTGGCATAAAATAAACAACGCTGTGCATGTGACATGTATCATGTATTTTGGGGAAAGTGCATGGTGAAACCCTAGGGGGAAAAAAACTGTGTTTTTGGTGTGGAAGGTACCGTGACGTTTTAGTTCACTCCCTCCTCCCCTCCCTCTCCACCTACCCCCCTCTCCACCCACCCCTCTAAGTTAGGTGACTGGGGTTCCCAAGTGATAGCGGGTCAAAGCCCCTGCAAGGGCCGTTGTTGGTGACCCGGAGACGGTGAAATGTTAATAATGTTTGATCAACTAGTGACGGCAGTCCTGCACACATGTGAACTAATCCCAGAGGCGTAACTTGTGGTGAGTAACCACCGCGAGTCTTATACATACACGGGTAAAAAAAAGCGTGGGGGGGGCGAAATGGTAGTCCTAAGGGGGGTACGCACTGGCAGTCCTAAGGGGGGAGGCGCACTGGCAGTCCTAACTTCTAATGTGTTGTTTGTGAAAAGTACGAGCTTTTAGTTGTATGTCAGTTGTGGAGTCAAGAGGACAGTTTAGTTAAATGATAATATGCCAGTTGTGCACCCGAGGACATTTTAGCAATATAATTTGCCAGTTGTACACTCAAGAGGACATTTTAGTCATATAATTTGCCAGTTGTCCACTCAAGAGGACACTTGTTATGTAGTTAAATCTCCAACCGGGACAAAGTTCAGCTCAACGCCACTGGGCTAGGGTGGCAGGTCCATTCACCGGTAACAAAATATCTCTTAAGTTTGTTTTTGTGTGGATAACGTTGAGGTCTGGGCAGGATTGTAGCCGTCTCGTAGTTCTGTAATAGTATTTGGAATATAGAGCTACTACTGATTGTGTTGTGGCTGGTACTTATAATATATGGAGGTCATAGGCTGTGTTGGAATATATGACAAACACTGATTGTGTTTGAAAATAGAGCTGGTAGTTATAATATATGGATGCCATAGGCTGTGTTGGAATATAGTGCTGCTGCCATTCATTATGTTGGAATATAGGGCTACCACTGATTGTGTTAGGATAGAGGGCTACCACTGATTGTGTTGGAATAGATGGCTGCTTCTGATTGTGTTAGAATACAAAACTGTTAGTGATTATGTTGGAATGTTTGGCTATAATAATGATTGTGTTTCCTATAGTTGTGCATCAAACATAGAGCACATCTTTATCTGTGGTTTGTCCCTAAGACTGTACTTACTCCACTGATCACATGAATCTCCTGTGATGCAGCCCTGTTCTGCTGTTGTTGACGTGTAGTTTCTCAGGGTGTTAGTGTCAGTGATCAAACGTTTCGCGCTATCGCAACACCATCTTGTGCTCTTAGCGGCAGCATCTTGTGCTCTTTGTGGCACCATCTTGGGGGCCCAATGTAGTTGGGATAATCCTGTCTACCAATGATAATAAGAGGATTTTTTTCAAAGCAGGTGCAGAACACTATTTGCTGTTGATATATTTATTTATTTATTTATTTATTTATTTAGGCATTTTTATATAGCGCTTATCATAAAGCTCTAAGCGCTTTACAATTATTAAAACATGTAAACTAAGTAAATACAAATGAGACACTAGGATAGTAACTACTATTCTATAGAAACAATGAAAATATATAAGGGGGCCATTAGAAATGGGAGATTAAGTCGTAGAAATGGGATATCTTAGTTGTTGAAATGTGATATCATATTTGCTGAAATGTGATATCTTAGTTGTTGAAATGTGATATCATAGTTGTAAAAATGTGATATCTTAGTTGTTGAAATTGGATAACATATTATTTGTGGATATATAGAAACAAGTAGAAATGTGATATCATAGTTGCGACATATATTTTGTAACCGGGCTCAGTCAGCCTTTGATGGCTCATTTAGTCAGCCTGTGATGGCTCATTCATCCAGCATTTGATGGCTGAGTTAGCCAGCCTTTGATGGCCTTTCATACAGCATTTGATGGCTCAGTCAGTCAGCCTTTTGCTATGTCAGCCCGCTTTCTGCTCAGTCAGCCAGCCTTTGATGGCTCAGTCAGTCAGCCTTTGCTGGCTCAGTCAGCCAGCCTTTGATGGCTCAGTCAGCCAGCCTTTGATGGCTCAGTCAGCCAGCCTTTGATGGCTCAGTCAGACAGCCTTTGATGGCTCAGTCAGACAGCCTTTGATTAGAATTGTGTCACCTACGTTATCTCTCCACCGCCTCCTCCCCGTAATCCACAGGGCTGACCTTAGGGTGTGAACGAGTTGCATCGCGTGTCGTGTATCAAGATAAACTTAGCAACAAACCAGTTTAATATCACGGGTATCAAGATAAACTTAACAACAAACCAGTTTAGTATCACGTGTATCAAGATAAACTTAACAACAAACCAGTTTAGTATCACGTGTATCAAGTCCATGTATGTTTTTATCCATTGAGACATTATAAGTATTTACAATTAAACTCTACGTTTTCTAACTGCTCATTTATTGTGGACGTTCATCCCTACCCTCCCCGTTCCACATCACCCCCCCCCCCCCCCCCCCTCTCCCCCCCCCC